ATATGTAACTTAATTTTTTACTTATTTTTTTTAAATTTGATTTTATTTTATAATACCATTCAGTTCTACATAACAGCCACAGATTCCCTTGTTCTCCCCCTTCCTACCCCCCTCCCCTTCCCCTCAGCCCAGGTGCTTGGGTTTCTACACAATACCTGAATCCCTAAAGTAATAGGAGTCTCATCTGCTGAAAGTCCATGACTGTGGACTGTGTTCGCTAGCCTTAATTGCAGGTACATCTCTCACAATGCCTGACTGCTTTTACTACCCAGTGGACCTTCACCTTTTTGGCAACATAAACAAGAAGAGTTTGACATATGATTTTTGGTTTTTCGAGACAGGGTTTCTCTGTGTAACTTTACGCCTTTCCTGGAACTCACTCTGTAGCTCAGGTTGGCCTCGAACTCACAGAGATCCACCTGCCTCTGCCTCCCAAGTGCTGGGATTAAAGGTGTGTACCACTACCGCCCGGCAACATATGATTTATAAATATGAAAATTCACAAAATTGTTAGAAAAAGACTATGAAGTATAGCCAAAAGCACTCCTCAATATAAAACAATTTAATGATAAAAATGCTTAGATTAAAAAATCTTGCCTTAGAGATGTTACTAATCTTTTAACTTACTAAATCTTTGAAACTATTATTGAGAGAGAAAAAAAATGAATGGGGCAGGGATGCAGTTCATGGTAGCATTAACAAAGCTATATAGGTTTAGTCCCCAGCAACCACATAAAGTAGGCACAAAAGCATGCCACACATAGCCTCAGAAGCTTCGAGGTGGAAGCATGGGGGTCAATTCAGGTCATCCCTCACTACATAGTGACTTCAAGGTCAGTCTGAGCTACATGAGACACTACCTCAAAACAATATTAACAAAGAAACACTGAAGTAAATGCTGTGGATATCGCTCTATATAAATAAAACATTGATGGCCAGTGACCAGACAGGAAGTATAGGCAGGGCAAGGAGAGAGGAGAATTGGGGAAACAGGAAGAAAGAGAGAGACACTGCAGCCACTGCCAGGACAAGCAGCATGTAAAGATGCCGGTAAGCCACCAGCCACTTGGCAAGGTATAGATTTATAGAAATGGGTTAATTTAAGATATAAGAACAGTTAGCAAGAAGCCTGCCACGGCCATACAGTTTATAAGTAATATGTGTCTGAGTGATTATTTTATACGTGGATTGTGGGACTGCGGGGCTTGGTGGAACCTGTAGAGAAGCCCTCCAGCAACAAGTAAATCCTCAAATGTCGGTTCTGTTTATCTCATGTCTGTTAGTTCAAAACAAGTCGACGAATAGATCTGATATTTCCAAGTTTAACATCCTAATAGGAGTCTACCTCCTATTTCCTAGGTCTACTTTGCAAACATAAAGCTAGTCTATTAATTCAGTAGTTGAGCCATTTTATAATGAACACAGAAAATACACGAAATCTTTCTGCATATAACAGTTGAAAGGTAGATGAATTACTTGTCCCCCAAATACACAACTGGTGGTATTCATTTAATTATTTGCATACCAAATATTGTATTTTATTTTGCACTGAATCAAAATTAACGACTTTTTAGATTTCTGAGAAAGTTACCTAAATAAATATGCCAAGCTTTCCATCACATTACCTATTCCATATACCTATACTGACATTTTGACAGTCCAGTGCTATCTCAAAGTGGTGATGCCTAGTTACTGTAAGAGACCAAATCATCTCTGAGAAATTGCAGGTTTGTTACAGAACAAGGGAAAAAATGCTAACGAATGGTTATTCCTAACATAATTAACATTGCTGCTGGTTGAACTGTGCTGGGAGCTTTGTGGGTCCTTCCTGATCTTTGGGAATATGGTCTCAGTGCTTGGTAATAACAAGCCATTATTCAACTATCAATGATATATAATAGTCACATCAAGTCCAGCCACCTACCCTCAACAAGCCTATTTGAAAAACATGAAAGTGGGAAGCAGAAAAGGACCACATTGGGAAAAGGAACACAGATATAGTGAACACCCCCCCCCCATGTCTGTCTTTGGGGTCCTAACGAAAGACCCATGGTCCCTGGGACTAGCGGGTTATCATTATCTGGGTTTCAACCTCGTCCTGTTAGAAGATGGTCTGGCCCGTTAGAACTGTGGTAAACATCTCTCCACCAGACCAGCTCCCCCTCTTGCTGGCCTCCTTTCCTTCTCTCGGGATATTCCTGGCGAAATCCCCATCTCTTTGGGGGTGCATTGTTTCCGCAGGCTGAGACCCCGAGACACAAACGTCTCTAGGGGACCTTCAGGCGGGCCAGGGGGGCTACAGAACGTACTGACAACGGCCAGCGGTGGGCGTCTGCTCCGCAGTCTCTGCCCGTTACTCAACTATTATTTCAATGCAACACTTAACACTTCCCATTCTACGCATACATTATCTCGGGCCACCCCCAAGGAAAAGCACCATTAATCCTTTCACCGCTTTTCTCGACGTGGAAAATTAGTATGCCTCTGCTCATGAAACCCCGACAGCCTAAGAGTGACGACGATCACAGACGCCAAGGGTGACTTTGTAAACAGTCACCCAGACGCGAACCTCTGCCCTGCGCAAAACCCACCGCGGTTCCGAGCAGGGATCCGCTTCCCGCCCCCGCGTCTCGCGGGACCCGTGCCTCCGCCGAGATTTGGGGCCCCGGAAAGTACAATCGCGCGAGAACGGAAGCAGGAAGTGCGAGGCAATCCGTGACCTCCTAGCGGCCCCCGGAAGTGTGGCGTCTCGCTGTGATCTCCGGCGAACTCGTGCAAAGAACCGTAGTGGGCGAGCTCGGGCGGGGACCATGCTGACTCGGGTGAGGCCCTCGGCGGTCCAGCGCTTGGGACTGAAGCGGCGGAGAGACAGGGCGGACTGGGACGGGAGCCACTCTGCACAGAGCCCGGGAGCCGTGCTGAAAGCCGCCCTTGGGCTGGTTCTGCCCATCCGCATGCACTGCAGGCCGAGCCCCGGGGTCGGCGCTGAGATGCCGGGGCCAGTAATTCTGCCAACTTTCCCGGCCCTCGGTGCATGCACTTGGGTGAATACGTGAAACAATTGCAGGGGGTCCCAGGAAGTTAGGGCGACGATTATTTCCGTAAATAAACTTTAGTGTGGAATAATTTTACATTTACATAATATACACCCAGCCGTGGTGATAAATCTTTGCTGTGTTACTTAAAAAACAAACAAAAAACCCTTATGCATTCTAAAATTTTCTTAACATAAATACATCTTTAACCTGGGCCTTACATTTGGGTAATTACTACTTTGAGAAACGCCATTTACATAAATAGGTAGAATATCAATGATAGAAATCTGTCACAAGTAAGGTGTTGCTCTCAAGGCAAGAACTGCTATTTTAAACAGTTCTTTAAAAGCAGGAAGCCTCACTCCTAGCCGAGGCGTTATTGGCAGTAGCTGGCAGTTGCTGCAGGAAACTTAGTTTTCTGCGTGTGATCCCACACACATGTACATAACGATATCCTCTAAAAGGACAGGAAGTTGGGAGGGAAGCTTACCAGGGGAGTCTGGGAGGAGTTGGAGAAGTGTGGGGGGCGTGGTTACTATCCAAATACATTGTATACGTGTATGAAATGCTTAACGAATAAATACAGATGTAAAGAAAAAAATTAAGGTCATGTTAATGTCAGATCTCAATAAATGTGTGATATCACAATGTGTCGTTAGCAACTCTCTTTTATCGTCATAGCTGAAAGCAAAATCAGAGGGGACGCTTGCAAAACAGATTTGCAGAGTGGTGTTGGATCAGTTTGACCAACAGTATTCCAAAGAGCTTGGGGATTCCTGGAATACAGTAAGGTTAGTATGATTCATCTCTTGATATTTTATGAGGGAACAGTGGAAGTGTGTGCCATACCTCTTTTATGAGAGTGGCCCCATGAAGATAAAAGTTTAGTACACATTTTGGGAGGGAAGGTACAGTCAGAGTAAAGGTGAAGGAATTACCCAGCTGCCCTCTCCTGCCTGAACTGTGGACAAAATGAGGCGTAAATTTTTTTTTTTTAAATGAAGAAAGAAAACACAGCCATAATAAAAATGAATACCCTCCTCCCAAGCAATGGCTTTTATCTGTAAAAATGGAAATGCACTGCATTTTAAAACTATGTCTGTAACAAAAATTCTAACTCTGAAGACATTTAACTTTCCGAAATTCAGAAAATAACAAATCCTTAAAGTCAGTGCTCCTTTATCTTAGCTAAAGTCATACTTTATTTGGCAATCCTAGGCACAGTTATGTCTGTATTTGGAACAATGTATTTTAAAGAAATAAGCATATAATGAAGAAAAGTGGCCAGTGGGCCTGTGATGCTGTGGTTCAGTTGGTGGGGAAGGAAGGCACGTGACATCAAGGCTGGCATCCAGAGCAGGGACTACATTACAAGTTGTCCTCTGACCTCCATGCTCAGTCCTACTCCATGTCCCTGAAATAAATTCATTCATTATTTTTTTAAGAAACAGACGATTTGTGGGTTTGTGAGTTTGTGCTCTTGATCAGAATGGTAGTGAGTGGAGTTTTGTATGGAGTTCCTGATGTGTGTATGTGGTAACCCCCGGAATACAAAGAACAGCATAGTCCTCTGTCCAGTTTACATACAGTCTGTTCATGGGAGAGCCGTGGTAAACATTCTAGAAACATGAGCAAGAATGGTGTCTTTTATTTATTGAAGTGTGTGGGTGCCAGTAAAAGCCACTGGTGACTTTGGAATTAACTTGGTAAAAGGAATCAGACAATAAGGACTGAATGGAGATTGCCCAATCTGGAACCAGACAATAAGGACTGAATGGAGTTTGCCCAATCTGTTTTGCGGAGCAAAGAAAAAGTGGTATGACTGTAGATAGTCTGAAACTTAGCTCAGACAATAATTTCTCAAATTATTATTTTATGTCATCTCATCTTAGACTAAGTATTTCTCCTTTTCACAGAAGAGCTTTAAGCATATCTTGAGACAAAGATTAAGTCTTATTAATAAAGATAATAAAATATGAAGTGGGTCAAAGATGATTTTAGGATGCTAAGATATTTAGGACACTTATAATATGGAAATGCAGCAGTTATTTTAAGAATGCTACATTTTATAATGAGTCTTTCAGAAAATGAATAGTGAAGTATATAATGAATTCATGAGGTTTTTAGTATGTAAAGGTATTCATACAGACTAATAACTAAAGAGCCACACATCTTGCATGAATATTCGATGCAAGCAGTGCCTACTTAAGTACTCCTGAGAACGAACTTGAGCTTTCTTTTCAGTGTTTCTTCTGAGGCTGTAGCGTGGCGTTAAAGTAACTTGCCGAAATTCATTCAGCTGGTTAGTAAGTAGAGGTGGGACTCTTGCCCAGTCTGTCTAAGGGCAGATCTCCCGCTACTGACAGTACTGGCTCATACCTGGGATAGAATCAGCATTCTTGGATGATTTAAAACAAAAGATTGTGAGAAGTATTTTGTCTAGAGCCTTTTTAATAACCTGGCTATTCATAGCCTGTAATGAGTTGATTTTCTACTTCATATCTCCAGAAAGGCTTATAAATGACTATTTGACCCTGAACAAAACGAGCAGTGAACCTCAAAGCCATTTAATTAGCTGGGCCTTCTGTTCCATCTCCCCTTTTGCTAGGATTTCATGGTAACTTAAATTTTGCATAAACATCTACTAAATTTGCCATCGGCAAACTGAAAGCTTTCTTAGAAAGACTGATCATGGAAGACAGCATAGGAAAACAACAGAAGTACATGTTTGTAAGTATTTTTACTTCCGGCCTTGTCCTCCTCTTCCCTCTCATCTAGAAAGGGATTCCAGTTTCTCAAATTTCTATAGCAGTGGGGAAGACTTTTCGTTTCAGGGTTTCCATAATTCAGCTTTTGCTATACTTGCTTCCGGCTTGTTCCTTCCAGGAAGTCCATTCCTAGCAGAACGTGAACCTTTCCTTCATGGGATGTCTTTTTACACTGTGCCGTTCTTTTTCAGCTTTAGTGCGGTACTTGTGTTCTCTAGCAATCACCCTTAGTTCCCCTGCTCAGCATACTCACGTACGTGCTGTTGTTCTCTTCTAGACCTACGTTGCTTTCCGGATTGACTTACGTTCCCTCCTCTGGAGGCCTTACTTTCGCTCCTGTCTCCTTACTCCATTAGACCTTTATATCTTTGTAAGAAAAGAAAGCTTCCTGGGAAGTGAGCCTGGAGTTTTTCCTCAGCTCCTGAGAGGTGATCTCTAAGTCCTTGAAATGTACTGATTCTGCCCTGATAGTAGAGGGAGCTTTACCTGGGGGCTTGTGCCACACCTGCTAGTCTGACTGTATGATGGAAGAGGAAGTTACAGACCACAGATAAGTTAACAACATCCAGGGGGGTTGGTGACTAAAATTGACTATAAGGACTGTCAGTTAAGTCTCCATACAGAATCTCCAAGACAGGCTGGGTACCTAGGTTTTTATGAGCATCCTTGGTTGGCAGTACTACCCCACATTGCTGTCAGAAAAAGCTAGACTTGTCTGGGGTTCTACTGGAGCCAACAAACCCCCGGGAGTTGTCTCTTCCCTGACATTTGAGTGTGAGTGCTTTTGCTGTGGTGCACAGTGCCCGTGACTGCAAGTGCAACAGTTTTCATTGTGTCCTATGAATTTTGGAATGTGGGAGTGACCTCTGAGATCCCTCAAGTTGTGGTTGCTGTGGAAACTGCATAGCTTGGGCAACTCTGTATTACCTCAGATCAACCCCTCCCCCTAGCAAAAGGGAAAATGGCTGCCCAGGGCTGTTGCTTCACCCTTTTATTTGGATGCCCTTTAAATTCTGTCACTGCTGTTTATTTAGCCTCTCTATTCCATTGTGTCACCCTGTCCACAGACCCACTTTATGGCTTCGCTATGGGCAGTGTTACATTTGAACCAAAAATAATAAGAGTTAATGTTAACATTCTGATCCCGCCCCTCGGCGCCACCTTATGCCCTGAATACGCCCATTTTTACGGGAAAACTCTGCTTATTTTCCTCTCTTCCGCTTTCCTCCCACAAGGTGCGGACCCCCCCCACCCCATCCCACCCCGTCCCTCTCTGTCTCGTTTTCTGTCTTTCTGCCTCTTCATTTCTCTCCCTATTATAATAAACCATTTCCACGTGGATGCAGTGTCTAGGTTGTGTATCTCCACCCTCATGGACATGGACCGGGCTCCCTGGCCTTGCCAGCCTTCAGCTTCTGGGGTTCCTGCTGTGTATAATTCCTACCATTAAAGAGGCTGTTTTGTGCCTCTGGTCTCAATGTGCTGCCTCCTCTGCCAGGTATACCCTTCCTTCTAGTCATTACGAGTGTGGGTTCAAAGCTCTCAGCATCTTGTAGCATATAACTTAGATGAGTTATTGAAAATCTCTGCCACACTGACCTGATCTGTGAGACAAGCAAAATAATGTCTATTCCAGAGTTATATCAGAAAAGCAAATACATTCTCATAAATATATACACCATTGGTTCTCAACTGTCCTAATACAATGACTCCTTCATACAGTTCCTCATGTGGTGACCCCAACTGTAAAGTTTTTGGTTTTTTTTTTTTTTTTTTCTCGAGACAGGGTTTCTCTGTGTAGCTTTGCGCCTTTCCTGGAACTCACTCTGTAGACCAGGCTGGCCTTGAACTCACAGAGATCCGCCTGCCTCTGCCTCCCGAGTGCTGGGATTAAAGGCATGTGCCACCACCACCCGGCTGTAAAGTTGTTTTTCTTGCTACTTCCTAACTGTAATTTTGCTACTGTTATGAATCATGATGTTAATATCTGTGTTTTCCGATGGTATTCTTAGGCAACCCCTGAGAAACATTGCCAGGAAAAGGTGAGAAGCCTTTAGCCCCGTGTTACAATCTTTGAAGAATAAAGATTAAATGCCTTGGAAAAAAAGTGTTTCCAGGAGTCATGTTTCTGAGACCAACCCTCAAAGTGATCTAGGGAGCACCCTCTAGTGGACAGTGAGGACATTAGCACTAGGACTTGCTGTATTTTTCAACACTTGAAATTTGTAATAGCCATTGTGCTTAGCTTTATTTTATTACCGTAGAAGGTTGGATAGGGAACAGAATAACAGGAGAAAAAGGTTGTCACAGAAAAGCTAAATGAAGATTGTATTACCAAATAGGTGATTTTTCAACATTTTCGTTTTTTAAGTGCTTGACTTTAGTTAAAATAGTAATTATAGGGCTCAAAGAATATCTCAGTGGTAGAGTGCATTGTCAGCATCCATGAGACATAGGTTTCATCACAGACCAAAAATAAAGAGCAATTGGAAAAAAAAAAAAAGCTCTGTAAATGAATCTGCTTCTTTGACTTGTCCAGAAGCTTCAGTCCCCAGCAGTAGAATTGAGTTCTTACCCAGTACACACCGGCTGGAGGAAAGTAGCCAAGCAGACAGCATGACTGTTGCTGGTGTGACTTCATTGACTTTCTCAAACATCAGTCGCTCCTGTGTACAAGTTTAGTTTTAGTTACTCTCTTTTAAAGTCACTTTACATAAGATTTAAACATAAAATTTTTTATACTGGAAATAGATAATAGCCTATAGCCAAAGCAGAGTGTTTATTTAGAGAATGAATGAATAAATCTTAGCAAGAAGACAATAATGAGCTGGCCTGTTGTAGTATGAGTAGGAAACATGAGTTACAAAGACTGTCATAGGCATAGACAGTCACAGCAAGTTTCAACAGTCTCTGAGTCCTTTCAGAAGAGTGCCCTCCCATCTGCCTAAGCCAGTACGGACTCTCCTTCCTCAGCTTGCCATTCTTGGTCCTCCTATAACCAGAAAAAAACAAAAACCGCAACA